GCCCTCTGTATCCTTCCTGGCATCTTCCCTCGGCCAGGGTCTCCACCTGTGGGCCCCTCTGTCCTTGCTGATGTAATTAGCCCCACCTGGATGTGAGCCTGAGTGGCTGCTGCTGGCCTACCATTGCCTTGGATACCATTGCCTTGAATTTGAGGTCCCTCTTCCTTTCCCCAGCCCAGGGCTTTCCCAGTCTTCCTCTGTGTTGTACGTATGTGTGTGTGTGTGTGTGTGTGTGTGTGTGTGTGTGTGTGTGTATGTGTATGTGTGTGTTTGTGTTGGGACTGGGGAGGATGGAACAGAGTACAGACATTTTGAGGTTCCTTGCACATGCACACAACCTGTGAGGTATAGTAAACAGTTTTAACTCAATCTATCTGGGCACCTTCCTTCACCAGTTGTTTTTCATTTCTCCCTCACCAGTTTAGATGGGTGTAAGACTTACAACAGGGATTCCCTGAGAGGCCTGTGACCTCTCCCATGCCCTGCCCAACAAGTAATGTCCATGAAAGAGGACTGTCAGCCCTTAGGTCCCTTTTATCCACCTGCCCCACCTCCTTATTGGTTAAATACCAAGATAGGGAGAGAGCCTGGCCCCCGCCTCTGAGCTCTGCCTCTCTTCTTTCCCTAGACTTCTCCCCCCTCCCTCCCTAGATACATGCGAGTTCCCATACTGGCTCTATCTGTTTAGGATTCACATTTTGCTTTTGCATTTTCACCGGGAATATTTTGGAAATCTTGCAATCGCTCTTCACTCTCAAATTCTGTCATTCAAGATTGTTGTCTCACTAAGTAAGCTGATCAATAGCCCCTATGTTCTTAGTAGTAGCTGATCTCCCACCTTGGATTCTTGGAGGGTCTACTCTGGGCCGAACGTCCAGGAACTCATGATTGAGATAGAGGGTGCAAGGGGAAGGAGGAATTATCATCCCAGTATACCTAAGATGTGCGGGGTAGCACAGGTTAGTCCTTACTGCCCAGCCTGGTTTCTATTGTCAATTTAGAATACTCTCCCTCCATCGTGTATATATCCTGTAGATTCTGCCCCACAGGAGGGATTAGGTCTAGTGTCAGCTTCTCCCAAGAGGACCTACCCATTCATAATCTCTTATTGACTAGGAATTTGGGGTGCACAGGCTTCCGGAGTTTTCTCCCATATTCTGCTTATGGAGGTTGCAGACACGCAATCCATGCAATTTTAATACAAGGTGATCAATTTTATTATATGATTAGGTACAGTATTTTATGGGAGCACAGAGAAGGAGTGCCTCATTATGCTTAAGAGGGTCAAAGAGGGCTTCCCAGAGGAGTGAAGCCCAAGTTAGGGATTGAAGATCAAAATAAAAAAAGGAAAACACACACACACACACACACACACACACACAAGATTAATCATAGTTTTCTAGTTGAACAAGATGGGGATGGGAAGGATATTTTTGAAAGGGCAAATCTCAGAGGAGAGCAGGACCTTATCTGTTTTACTTATCAGTGTGTCCCTATCACCTAGTATAGAACTTGGCACTTAAGTATTGAACGTATTAGTGAACTAATGACTTTATCTTGAAGGCCATTGAAACTGGTCATTTCGAGTAGAGGCACAACATGACAAAAATTGTGTTTTATAAAAATAAACATGGCTGCATTGTAGTAAATGAGTAAAAAGGGAATGAGACAGGGAGCAATTGTAGTAGCATGTTCTACGAAGACTCTTAGGAGAGATTCTTTTTAAGTGACCCCCAATCTCACTTCAGGTACTTAGAGATTCTGTGTCTTCTGCACTGAACATATGGTAGTTTCCCACATATGCCTCAAGCAGGCACAGTCACTGCCTACTTCTACCCTTAAAATGGCCCAAGAAACTTTGGAGATAATTCACAGCATATTTAAGCATTACCTTCTCAACACCTTCCATATAGGAGGCAGAGAGTCGAGTTTTCCAGATGATCTACTGAAGAGACAACAATTACATTTTTGTCTTAGTCCATATGGGTGCTATAACAAAAATACCATAAACTGGGTGGCTTAACACAACAGAAATTTATTTCTCATACTTATGGAGGCTGGGAAGCCCATGATCAAGGCGCCAGCACATTCGGTGTCTGGTGAGAGCCTGCTTCCTAGATGGCTGTCTTTTCGCTGTAACCTCACTTGGTGGAAGGGGATAGGGAGCTCTCTGGGGTCTCTTTGATAAGATGACTAATCCCATTCACGAGGGCTCCACTCTCGTGAACTAAGCACCTCCCAAAGACCCCACTTCCTAATATCATCACGTTGGGTATTAGGTTTCACCATATGAATTTTGGGAGGACATCCGGTCTTTAGCATAGGGCGTAGTACTGTTTTTTCTGTTTCTTGTTCAGAGTGGGTCCGTGACTTTTCAGTATTGGCAACGGTAACTGGTAACTGGGGGTCTCTATGGTTAGTGAAACCTGGCACATAACTGATATTGTTTTCAGAGTGAGAGACTGAAGAGAGGTCAGTAAAATACATCCAGAATCCTCAGTTCCTGTGTGTTATTAGCTTTCTGTAAGTATATATCAAGTTATCAAAAACGTAGTGTCTTAATACAAGTCCCATTTATTAGCTCACAGGTCAGGAGCCCAGCATGGTTTGACTAGGTTCTCTGCTCAAGGTGTCACAAGGCTGGAATCAAGATTGGCCAGGCTGGGTTCTTGCCTGTACACTCCTGGGGAAAAATCTGCTTCCAAACTTATTCTTATTGGTAGAATTCAGCTTTTTGTGTGTAGGACTGAGGTCCCGTTTCCTTGGGGCTATCTGCTAGGGGTCGCCCATAGCTCCTAGAGGCTGTGTGTACTCCTTGCCACACCTCTATCCTAAAGTCCGCAGTGGTGTGTCAGATCCTTCTAATGCTTCAAATCTCCATCATCCTCAGTCTTTGACCTCTAGACCAAGATTTAAAAGGTTTATGTGATGAGGTTAGACCCATGCAGATAATCTTCCTGTTTTAAAGTCCACTGTGTTAAATAATATAATCTATTCATGGGGGTAAAACCCATCATATTCACAACAACTCTGGAGATTATGCTGAGGAGCCTGTTCACAAGTTGGGGGGAATTTGTGGACCATCTTAAAATTCTGTTTACCAAACTGATAGTTGTAAAAAAAATAGTTTGCTTTTTTTTTTTAAACAAGGTTACAAACAGCCTCTTGCATACTTCATTTAGGAGATGCAGAAGAAGCATATGATTTAATTAATATTTTGTTTGAAAACCAATGTACCTCTTAAGTTAACTTTCTAATATCTGAACTTGACAGATCTACTATTACTAATCTTTAGAAATTTTACTTGTATGTGACTCATTTACTTCTAAACAGTACTGCTGTTCATATAACCAAAACAAAACATTTCTGAATCTATTACTGGAGCAGGATTTTATTGTTTGTACATGGGAAAATAAAACAACATATAGTATATACATAAACACCATCAATTCAAAGTGATTTTCACTGTTAAGTGAGAGTTTTGTTACATTCCCTTGAGTGATAAGGTGAGATGTCTTTCAAAGCTTTGGGGCTTTCCAGATTTAGAGAAGGAAGGTGTGAGAGTTTAACCAACTGTACAGTCAGTCAGCTACAGAGTTTGAGGGAGCCAGTCCTCCACACAAGACCACTCTCACTTTTTTTTTTTTTTTTTTTTTGCGGTACGCGGGCCTCTCACTGTTGTGGCCTCTCCCGTTGCGGAGCACAGGCTCCGGACGCGCAGGCTCAGCGGCCATGGCTCACGGGCCCAGCCACTGTGAGGCATGTGGGATCTTCCTGGACCGGGGCACGAACCCGTGTCCCCTGCATTGGCAGGCGGACTCCCAACCACTGCGCCACCAGGGAAGCCCCACCCTCACTTTTGACACCAAATGTGTGTTTGAGGGATTTCCAAAACTGCCCTCAGGTTTGAAAATTTGCTAGAAGTACTCACAGAACTCAGTGAAAGCTGTCATATTCATGGTTACAGTTTATTACAGGGAAAAGATCCTGATTAAAATCAGCCAAGGAAAGCAGTTATATAAGGTTGGGTCTGAGGCTAGAAGAACCAACCACAGAGCTTCCATCACCCTGCCCTATGGAGTCAGAACATGTTATTTTCCCAGTACTGACATGTGACGGTATGCACAGAGCATTGCCAACTGGAGAAGCTCATTGAGCCTTTGGTGGCCAGAGTTTTTACTGGGACTTGATCACATACCACTCGCGTGGCTGACCGTTAGTCTCTAGCCCCTCCTGGACGTCAGTGTTGGGCTGATACCTTTAGTCTCCAGGTAGTTTTGGAGGCAGAATTGATATTGCATGACTCAAGGCCCCTATCATAAAATCACATTGTTAGACTATCTTGTGGCCAAAGCCCTCAGGCAAACAGAGACATTCCTGTCAGCCATGACGTTTTGAGGTCCTAGAGATTACCTCCCAGTAGCCAAAGGCAAAGGCCAGAGTAAGGTTAGCTCTTCAGAAGGGGAGGGAGGGAAAGAGGAAGGAATACAAATAGTGGCTATCGTTTATTGAGGGCATACTGTGTATCAGGCAGTGTGCTAAAGCATTGTTTCCTTGGATCCTTTGAACATTATTAGAAAGTTTCTAAAATTATCTTTATTTTGAAGGCAATTCGATATTTAGAGAGATTAGTGGCTTATCCAAAACTATGTAAATAGCCGGTGGTGGAACCAGGATTTGAACATGTATCAGCCTGATTCCAAAGTACATGATCTCAAACACTGCACTGTATAGCCTCCACCAGAACCAAAGACAGTAAGAATATGTAATGTAATAAGCATTTAGAAACAGTTATTTTTGAGAATTGAGTTTTCAGGATAAAGTTGTCATTCAAATGTATAAGAATATGCACTGCTACTTTAATAATATAGGATATAGAGGAAGAGCGTTGGTAGATAGAATGGTTACTTTATTGAATTCTTGCCTTGCAAGTGGATGCCAGACAGCACTGTCTTATTTAATTCATTCAAACACATTTATGAGTGTGCATTATATCTCAGGTGCTGTGCTGGCCATCGGTGACCCAAAGATGATGATAAATATGTTCCTGCCTGCAAGGAGCTAGCGGTCCACTGGGGTATGTAAACTGCTTATTGTATTTTATTTTTAATATTATCTTTGTTTTAAGCAGACTATAGAACACTCAATATGTAAGAAATATTTTGCGTAGAAATTTTGCAAGCATTTGGAACAATTTTGGGCTGGAGGAGCTAATGCTAAAGAAAGTTGCAATTTGGAGATTGTTGTTCATATAACCAAATCAAATAATTAAAGTCAGGTTCACTCTTTTGCAGATTCCGTAATAATAGGATAGATTAAAAAAGTAAAACTACTCTAGAAAAAGCCAAAGCACTGAGATTTTTGTGTTACCTAGGCAGTAAATGACGGCAGATGAAGGAGTAGGAAAGCCACCAGAATACATCACACATAGTAACAATGTACATTTCTTCTTCACACTTAGAACATTGACTACTCTGCTTTTTATTGGTTACTTTAGTGATTATCTTTCATCTTCTCCTTCTTTGATTTCTCCAATTGAGCAAAGTCTATATTGGGATAAAATAAGACTTCTTATTTTGTTAATGTTAATTTTTGGCAAATATGTATTTTATTTAAGTAATTTTATTTAAATTGTAGTTTCTAATAGTCTATGGTTACAATAAACCATGCAGTTTGCTGGGAGTAGTCCTGAAAAATTAAATACAGTAATTGCAGTAAACATAAATAAGAAATATTATATTCTAATGTTACTTTATATATTTTATAGGTTATTACAGAGGAGTAGAATTAGAAAAAAAATAAATTTAAGTGAGCTTGATGTCCAGTAGTTCATACTGATACTACACAACCATAATAACAATATGTTTGGACATATTTATATTAATACACTATCTAGATTAAGCATTATAACTGCTGAGAGTACAGCTGTGATCATTTAAAAATGTGAGCAAACCAGGAAAGAGCATATCCTTTTTCTTGGCAATATGATTTTAATTTTTAAAAGCATTTAATTTCATAAACCATATCCATCATCTTTGCACAGACAAATGTTGTGGCAGTTTTTTGAATGAGCCTCTTGGTTCCCTAAAGAAATTATGGATACACTATAAATTTACAAATGAAAGGTCATTTATCAGAGTTATAAATAAGAGTGGTTCCTGTGCTGATGCGCCTGCAAACGTAGAGTGGTTTAATATCTATCAGCTTTTGTGTACAGCTAGTACCGCAAAAGAATATAGACATTGTCATCGTCATACTTACACGGTGTCAACTTTGGCAAAGTGGTGAGAATGACGTGCAATATTTTTTGAATAGCATGGCATTTTCTTGAATTACTGCTGGCAAGAGAACATAAATCAACCTTAATAATGGATATTCCAAAGATGTTTATTAATCTATTCATTTAATCTAAAACACTCACTCTAGAGGCCAGTTCAAAGGAAGTGGCAGGTGCTTCTAAACCCCAGAAGTTACTTTTAGGGGCCCCGTAATTATGTCAGCTAAGTCTGGTTGGAATGGAGATCAAAACGCATGAAAATCCTTTCCTCCTAATCTATGCTACAGTTATTTGCTTAACTAAGATATATTTTCTTGTATGTGTGTAATCAAAATTTCAATTAGCTCCACCGTTGATGAAACTTACTACATGGCTCTCTGTTTGAATCTTCAGTTTTTAAAATCTGTTCCCCTCCCTCCCTCTCTCTCTGTATCTCTCTCTGTCTGTCTCTCTCTGTCTCCTTCTCTCTCTGTCTCTTTTTTTCTCTCCCTGTCTCTCTCCTGGAAAATAATGCTACACTGTGTAAACTTTGACTGAAAAGGACTGGAAAACTGACCAAATTCCTGTGTACCAAAATAAGAAATAGCATATGGCACATCATTCTGACTATGCGTAATGAGATTAATGACAGACAGATAGGATGGACAGAGAAGTAAAGAATACAGAGAGGGGAATTTACAGTAGGTAGGAAAGGTCAGAGAAAGCTAGTGAGCAGTTAAGCTGAAGAAGTCAGCTATGCAAATTTGTGGAGTAAGATGGTATGAATGTGCGCGCATGTACGTGTGTTATTTATTAAAATATAGAGTCTTGGCACAGAACTAACTTCTGGATTAAAATAATGTAAACAAGACTCATTTTTTTCTCCATCTCTCGGCTTCCACTAATGCAGCTTCAGCCTCTGGCTTCATTTGGGAGCAAGACGGTGGCAGTGGCATTGCTTCAGCTGTAATATCCTGTCAAGCTTCAGATCAAACAGGAAAAAGAGAGAATCTCTTTCCCAGAAGCCCTATCAAAGCCTGTTTGTATTAATTTGCTTTGATTAGATCACAGGATAATGCTGTGTGCCTCTCTTGGAGCAGGAGTGAGCGTCATCATTTTCCATGAACTAAGCATTAGGATTGTACCCCAGAGGAAAATGGGGTACTGTTAACAGAAAGAGGGTTCACGGATGCGAGGTAGCAAAGAAGAAGATTGGCTGCAGGAAAAATTACAATGGGTATATACACATGACATTTTATATATAATTACAGAAACCTATAGATTTCATAGCAATCCATGGACTTTAGGTTAAGAAGCTCTAAAAGTGACATTGAATCAATGCCTTCTGGAACCAAAAAAAAAAAAAAAAAAACCCGAAAAAAAACCACCATTGATATCCACAGCCATGTAAGAAAATTAGTTGTTACTGGCATTGTTTCCTGAAAAAAGAGACAGAATATTCTCATTTTGTTTATACTCAATCCTTAACTAGTTGTTTAAATGATGTTATCAAATTAAGAATGAAAAAGAAGTTATATTTTCTTATTAGCTAAAGTGGAAATGTAGTAGTTCAGCCTGAAGCTATTTCTTTAACTATTATTTTGTGTAAGGGAAAGAGGAAAAATCTTTTATTCACGGTAAGAACTTTATACTGCCAATGTTAGAAGACTTCCATTAGGGAAAAAAAGAACCTTTTCAATGTTGGTTCAACAATTTATTGCTATGGGAGCCTGTGTTTATATATATCCCAAATCCCTTCAATTTAGTCAGTTCCTTTGAAAAGTATTGATCAGGTCTATGAAAGTAATTTGTAAAGGATATATATTTTTTTGATAATGACCCCAAATACCTTATGATTTGCTGATAATTTTCTTTTTAGCAATATTTTTTGGAATGTCTTGGTGAGGTATCAGTTATTTTCTTAAAACTTATTTTAGTTGAAATACCTAGAGAGAATTGGTAGAAAATATAGGTAGGTCAATCATAGGAAATACCAATACTTTAAAAATGCCTACATAGTGATTGTGTATTTTTCATTAATATTGGGAAGAAAACAACTTTGTAAGAATGTGGAGACTAAAGTAGCAACCGCCCAGATGGCAGTCATAATTATGCTTTATTTTTATACAGATTTCTCAGTTTATTGACAAGAAAAAGGGGTTAGCCTGGGATTTTAAATTGCTCCCGCTTAAGAGCTTTTCTTCTTAAGTGAATCAAAATACCACTCAAAAATAGAAAAGAATTCCGTGATCACCAGATAATTTTAAGAGAATAAACATGTTAAGTGAAGAAAACTTAACCGTCTCATCTCTTCACAGAAGCAAAACCCTTTGAAGTTTTAACACTCTTCTTCATGAATGGATAAGTTTTCAACCAGAATCTTCTATTTATGACTGCAGTGAATTGTCACTGCTCCTTGTTAAGTTTAATACTCTCAGTTGTGAAGAAGTACATTATATTTTCCCCTACTAATTAATGCCAGTGAAATACAGCTGTTTTGCAGGGGGTCCAGTTTTCAAAATATTTCTACAGAGGCCATAGTGTATCTGGCTTTCCAGATGAGCATGTTGTTTTTAAAAACCTTCTCCTGAAAACCTCAGTTGACCATCAGTTCTTATTTCAATTGAGAAGTTTGTAGATCTGTTATCACTCTCTCTGTGTATGGTTTTTGTTTTGTTTTGCTTTCTAGATTACAACCTATCTTTACACAGTGTCAATTGTCTGTGAACAGGAAACAGCAGGTAGTTCATTCATTGAAAACTAGTTTATAGATTTTCTTGCTATATATTTGTCTCTGTTTTTCAGATTCAGTTTTAATTTTAACCAAGATAGGGGCTTGCTTCTCTCCATAGTAATATTAGTCATTAATAGAGTTTGGAGAAGTGAGTTTTTTAATGAGCAAACATTTTTATATATAAGAAAAATGTTGTTATTCTTCCATTTTGGCTGAAACAAACCAATGGTTATTTTTAGGGCTGTGAGTTAAGACAGGAAGAAAGTATAACTCCAGTAATCCTTTCTAAAGACAGAAGATAGAGAATCAAAATACTGTTAAGAGAAATTCAAACTGTATTTTTCTTACATGATGTCCGGTTCAGCTGTGTAGGTGTGAAGTTTCAGATAAGATTAAATGCTTTTACAGATGTGAACAGTCAAAACATTCCATATTATTTATTTTAGAGGCTTTGTAGGGAGAAGGAATAGGTTTAATCCAGGACTCTAAAGCATAGATTTCTGAAGACTGTGTGTCTGAAGGGGATGAGCTAGGGAGTAAACAAAGGGAGAAAATCCACATACATATTTGAGTTTCACTTTAGGACTCTTGATAGCTTTTGTCACTGATAGGGACTTTTCTCCTAGTTAACAAGGAATCAAAGAGACAAAGCAGGTAATCTACATACCCTTTCTCAGGTTTTCTCTAAGTTCCTGTAGATGAAAACACGTCACACAACCGGTCAGTTAGGGCCTACAGTGTTCTCTGTTTGTTTTAATTCCATTCTTTACTGAGAAGGAAATAAAAGAAATCTTGAGGATGGTGACAGACTTGGGTTCTTGCCACATTTTCAGCTCACTTCATGGATGGCTCTCTACTTCAGGGAAGGTTAATATTTTCCAGAGATGTTCCATAGGTGTTCTAAATCATACTACAGACACCTGCTCCTTTATATGGATATGTTATCCGCCTAGGATGAATCGGAGTTTTCTTTTTTTTTTTTTTTTTAGTGTGCTTCCTTCCAAAAACCTCATTAATCTCAGTGTGCAGAATTTAGGGGGAAAGTTGTGTTTTGCTAGTTGACACTGTTTAATGTAAATGATTTATG